TTCTTCCATTTCCTGCCTTTTTTGGTTTGTTTTTTCTTCCAATTCTTGAATTTTTTGGTTTGTTTTTTCTTCCATTTCTTGCATTTTTTGGTTTGTTTTTTCTTCCATTTCTTTGAGGGATTTTCCAATATCCTCTTTTAGGGCCTCTATCATTTTCATGAAAGTGCTTTTAAGGTCGTTCTCTTCTGCTTCGTTCGCATTGGAATGTTGGGGTCTTGCTGGTGTGGAGTCTCTAGAATCTGGCGGTGTCATATTTGTTTTTCTGTTGCTGACTGTGTTTTTGTATTGTCTCTTTCCCATCTCTTCTCTTAGTGGGTGCAGAAAGAGCCCCTTACTGGTCTGGGGACCAGAGTTCCCTTTTGGTGGGTGCTAGCAAGTCCAATAATCTGGTGGTTCTTCTATTCCTTGTCTGAATGCTGGTCCCGTGGGTGGAGAAGAAGAACAGGAATCTGGGGTGCTTATCCTCTTACCTGGTCCCCTGGACCCTATTCTGGGTCCTGTTGTACTTGATCCAGAACAGCTACTCCCCTGGTCTCCCTGGGTCCTCTGGTTTCCTGGTCTCGTTGGTGGGAGTGAAGACCTGGGGTCTGGGTGCTTGGCTCCCGCCGGGATTGGGAGCTCTGTGCAGGTCCCAGGCGATCTGCAGGCACTGGAGCACAGGCCGGGAAGCCGGCCTGTTTACCTGATGCTGCTGGAAGAACCGCCGCTTCCCTGGACTCCCCCAAATATATTAATCTTATAAATTTTTATATAAATATAAGATTGATTCTTTAAGAAAACCTGTTAAAAGTCAAGATAACACCAAAGGATTATAACATTAGTAGCAATATAAAAGATCTTAAGAATTTGTTTTTCTTCTGTTTCATATCAGGTGGCTCTTCTGACATGAGACAAGGATTTTTTATTTTTGTTTGACAATCATGCTTAGGTTTAGAGAAGGAGAGAGTCACACTAAAACTACAAAGCCAGCTTTACTCTTTAATTTTACTGGGACTACAAAAAGTCATTTGCATTGTATGTCTATAGAGAAAAGCAAAAACAGACATTTGGGATGATTTATGAAATTTTATCCTGTTGGAATGATATATCAATAGATCAATTTACTCCTTTTCTTGGGAAATGTTTTCTGGATTATTTGTCCCTTTTCTTCAGATGTCTCAATTGTCCTGCCTGTGGTCTCCAAATTCCTTATCCTGATACCTTTATTCTCCTGAATAGACAAAACCAAAATCCTTCCCCAGCCCTAAGGTTCTGGAAAGGTTCTCCTTTGGCAACTTATATCTGAACAAATGAAAAGCATTTGTTAGTTTGATAGGTTAGCTTAAATTAAATGGTCATACTGTTTGATGAACTATCATCTATTCTAATTAAGAGGTGTCTTGTTCAAATAGAATCTTTATCCATTTTGATGGTATCCATAGATTTATTTCACCTGTGGAAACAAAAGCAAAAGTTATTTCTCAATGTAAAACATGTCCAGGCATTCATTCTGAGGTCAACACATCTTTGAAGTATACAGGCTGATTTAATTCCCTAGTTTTTTCTATGATCCAATGTCTCTCCACAGCTGTTGTTCCTTTCTCATTAGCATTCAGAAATTCTAAGTTAATAGGGCAGTATATAATCTACCCCTTTTTCTGTTTATTTAGTGTATTCTTTAGGGTCCAATTTTATCTTTCTGTAAATCCTTGCCCTGTAGGATTATGTATGTGGTAAACCTGTAATATACTTTATATTATAATAAGAAAAAAAACTGTTTCATTTTCTTAGAGACATGTACTGGAGCAGTGTCTGTCTTTATTTGTGCAGGTATACCTATGATGGCCCTAAATTCTAGAAAATGTGTGATTATTGAAGTAGTCTTTTCCAAATTCAAAGAAGTTGCCCACTGGAAACTTGTACAGGGATCAATGGTGTGGTGTATATTTTTTAATCTTCCAAATTCAACAAAATGGAACACATATATCTGCCAGATACTACTAGTTTGAGTACCCTTTAGGTTGCTTCCTGCAAGTATTAGAGTGCAGTGTTATAAAGAACAAGTAGGACAATTCCTTACAATATCTTTGCCTTGTCGGAAGTGTTGGAAAAGTCTTTTTTCAAACCTTTGTTGTTGTTGACATGTGTTTTTTATGATGTTCTGAGGCCTTTAGCATATTTCTTGTCAAAAGCTGATCAATTTTGTCATTACCTTTTGCTAGAGAGCCTGGCAGACATGTATGGGAATGGATATACATATATACATATATAGATATATGTAGGATGATTCTCAGTCCTGATTATGTCTTGTAATTGAAGAAGTAATAAGTAATAAAGTCAATTATGTAATTCTGTATCATCTAATATAAATTCATCAGTTTCAGTATGCTGATGACTGTCTTTTCAGTTTCAGGAGGTCCCACTTATTGATTGTTGCTCTGTGTCTATGCTATAGGTGTTATATTTAGGAAGTAGTTTCCTGTGCCAATTTATTGACGGATTCTCTTCAATAAATTCTCTTCTGTGAGGTTCAGTGTACCTGGATTTATGTTGAGGTCTTTGATTCACTTTGACCTGAGTTTTGTGCAAGGTGATAGATATGGATCTATTTTCAATCTTATACACGTTGACATCTAGCTATGCCAGCACCATTTGTTGAGGATGATTTTCTTTTATCATACTGTTTTGGTTTATTTGGCAAAAATCAGGTGTTCATAGGTGTGTAGGTTAATGTCAGGGTCTTCATTTCAATTCCATTAGTTCATGTGTCTGTTTGTAAGGCAATAGCAGGCTGTTTTTATGACTATGGTTCTATAGTAGAGCTTGAAGCCAGGGATGGTGTTTCCCGAAGTTCTTTTGTTGTATGGGATTGTCTTAGTTATCCTTGTTATTTTGTTTTTTCATATGTAGTTGAGTATTGTTATTTTGAGGTCTGTGAAGAATTGTGTTGGTATTTTGATAGGGATTGCATTAAATCTGTATATTACTTTTGGTAAGATTGTCATTTTATTATGTTGATTCTACATATCCAAGAGCAAAGAATATATTTTAATTGAGTAAAGCTTCAGATTAATTTGCCACAGTGGAATTGGAAATTACTAACCGTTGGATAGTCTGTGAGGTTTAACTGTGTTGTCACTGTGTGATTTTTAAAAAACACATTTTCCTATGCAATCTATTTGGCACTCTTATCAAAAATCAATTAACAATAAACATACAGGTTTGATTATAGAAATCAAATTATTTTTGTCCTTGCTAGTGGTTTAATGTCCCAAGTTCTTCATCAATAAAACATTTTAGTAATATTTAAAATCCAGGATTGTGAGTCCCTCTAGTTTGCTGTTTACTTTTTCCAGACTACTTGACCATTCCGGATGTTTTTAAATTCAAATATGAATTTTAAGATATGCTTGTCAGGTGATACCCACAGAAACAGCTGATCTGAACAAGGGGGAGCTCATGGAGCCCAGACATCATGGCTGGGAGGCCAGCACGGGACTGATCCAGACCCCCTGAATGTGGATGTCAGTGAGGAGGCCTTGGCAAACTATGAGATCAGTATTTATCACTGGCATACAAATGAACTTTGGGAGCCCATTCCATGTAGAGGGATGCACTCTCAGTTTGGGCACATGGGAGAGGGCCTAGGCCCTGGCCTGGATGATATGACAGACTTTGGGGAATCATCCATGGAGGGCCTTACCCTCCCTAGGGTGTGGAGGGGGGATTGGTAGGGGTTGCTGGGGGTAGGGGAGAGGGATCTGTGAAGCAGGCTTGTTTCTAATTTAAATAAAAAAGAAAGAAAAATATATAGCATTGTGTATACAGAATAAATATAATTTCTTTGTATGTTTTGCTAAAAAAGATATGCTTGTCAGTTCTTTCAAAGGATCTGATAGTGATTTGTACAGAGATTGTAGTTAATCCATCATTATTATAGGGTATGTTCCATTTTCAAAAATAGAGGAAATTTTTATATGTATTGTCTGTCACCAATTTTGTGTGCACTGTGATGGTATTTAATGTGTCCACAAATACTATTAACTACCAACTCTCTAGTTTCAAAATCCTCCCGCACTTTACTATACAAACCACAGCCACTAAACCATCACTCTCATTTCCTCCACTTCTATTAGTAACTGTCAGTGTGATTTTGTCTATATAGATGTTTCTTTGTCTTTCTGACAGAGTAAGCTAACATCTAAACCAGCCCATAGTATTTGAGGCTTTTCCATCTTTCTTCTTGCACTTATAAAATCTTGAATGTTCCTTTCAGTTCAGTTTCTGTTTTCTCTTTCTGTTAAACTTCACTTACAAGCATGAGAACCACAATGCACTTATTCTTTTCTCATGTGTCTTTGCAGTATTTCTACATCTGACTCTTTTGAGCTGCTTATCTATGAACATCTGCGCATGCATTGCTTTATGGCATGTTTCACTTTCTGAATTTTCTGATTAAACAGTAATTTCATATTTACTCTTGTGAGAACAGCTTAAATTTTCAACAGACAATATACAATTCCATGGCTACAGGATCCCTTATTTTCCATTCTTAAGTTTTTATTTCATGTGTAAGGCAGTTTGCCCACATGAGAATCTGTGCACATCTGGACTTCAAAGCTCTTTGGGTCTTAATCTGTGTATCAACATCACGTTGTTTTCATGCTGTAATCTGCAGCAATCTTTCACATTTGGGAGGTTCAAATATTTCTCCACAGTTCCACTTAAATCTTGGGATTTGTTTTCTTATTTGAACATTAGTACAAATAGAAATGATTCACTAGAATACTTTGAGGAGTATTATTGCTGTCTTACCACTATTGCATCTTCCAAGTGCTTGCACACGAGGTGATTTTTGACTATGTATGTTACAGGCTCTGAAATATCACATTGGTTTCCACAAGTAGTGTACAGTTCAGGTTCTGTGTTATCAGCAATATAAAATTTTGTAGTTTTGCAGATTTGTTGTAATTGCTTGTGCTAGTAAAAATTATCAGATAATTGTGCCACACCATTCTTAGGAAAACTGCAAACAGGAGCTGAAATATACCCTTCAAAATCTTCTAGTAGTTTTGAGTGATCTGTTTGGTGCTGGGACAGAGACAACGAGCACGACGCTGAGATATGCTCTCCTGCTCCTGCTGAAGCACCCACACGTCGCAGGTAAGGACACAGGTGGTGACCCACAATGGTCCTATTTATTTATTCATTCATTCATTCATTGGTTTTTCAAGACAGGGTTTTTCTGCGGCTTTGGAGGTTGTCCTGGAACTCCCTCTGTAGACCAGGCTGGCCTTGAACTCACAGAGATCCACTTGCCTCTGCCTCTGAGGGCTGGGATTAAAGGTGTGTTCCACCAATGGCCCTCACATACAGAGGTCCTTTAAGGTGATGGTTCCCAGTGTCCTGTGTGTGTGTGTGTGTGTGTGTGTGTGTGTTTTATTGTTTAAAATGTTTTCTATTTATTCTTTTTTTCATTATTTTTATTATATTTTTTAGAAAAGAGCTTGCTTCACATGTCAATCCCAGCTCCTTCTCCCTCCCCTCCTCCCACAGCCCCCCCCACCATCCCTCCCTATCCCACTCCCTTCCACATAGAGGATATACAGAGTCTGTCATTTCCTTCAGGGCAGGATCCAGGCACTCCCCCATGAGTCCACGCTAAGAAAGCATCCCTCTTTGTGTTATGGACACATGGAGTCCATTTGTATACCAGGGATAAATACTGATCTACTGCACAGGGCCCCATAGGTTGCCTTTTCACTGACTCTCACATTCAGGGGGTCTGGATCAGTCCAGTGCTGGCCTCCCAGCCATCAGTCTGGGGTCCAAGAGCTCCCCCTTGTTCAGGTCAGCTGTTTCTGCTGGTTTAGCCAGTCCATTCTTTGCCCATTTGCTCATCACTCCTCTCTCTGTGTCACTGGGTTCCAGGGGTTCAGTTCAGTGTTTAGCTGTGGGTGTTTGCCTCTGCTTCCATCAGTCACTGGATGAAGGTTCTAGGATGGCTTATAAGGTAGGTGTCAAGTTCATTATCAGGGATGGGCATTTAAGGTAGTCTCTCCACTATTGCTTAGTTTGCCAATTGGTATCATCCTTGTAGATCACTAGAGGTCTCACTGGTGCTAGATATCTCTTCAAACCTATAATGACTCCATCTATTATTGTATTTCTCATCCTATTCTCCCCCATTCTTCCCTCAACTCAACCTTCTTGCTCCCCTATGACCTACTCTCTCTTCCTCTTCTCCCCCTCTCTTTTTCCCAGCTCCCATCCCCCAAACTGTTCAGGAGATCTTGCCTCATTCCTCTTCTCTGGGATATCATGCATATCTCTCTTAGATTCTCTCCTGTTTCCCAGACTCTCTATCAGTGGAATTGCAGGCTGGCACTCCCCTGATCCATGTCTAAAATCCATATATGAGTGAGTACACACCATGTTTGTCTCAGGATGGTTTCTTCTAGTGCCATCCATTTGACTGCAAATTTCAAGACTCCATTGGTTTTTTTTCTGCTGAATGGTAGTCCATTGTGTGTGTTGTTATTCAACACCTAACTATTTAGTTTTCTGCTTCACACCTTGTATGGAGGAGGATGACTGAGAGAAATGAAAAGGACATATCTTCAGGAAAAAACATGAAACCCCGTTCTTTGTCTAAGCTTCTTTGGATGTCATCTGTGGAAAGCACCACTGGCACATTTTAGCCTGTTGTTTCTTTTCCAGTATTCATCAACATCTAGTTTTTCACACAGGCAAATCCTTGAAGTTGCCTTGCCTTTCTTCTTTCTAATAAGTAATCCTGTGAGAGTGGAGTTGGGGGGAGCTGTGAGGAGTAGAGGGAGGAAAACTCTAATTAGGATTTATTAAGTGAGGAAAATCTATTTTCAATGAAAGAAAACATTCATAAAAGAAAATTTGCTTTATAAAGTGCCTTAAGTATTTTAAGTCAATATTTGGAGGGTTAATCAGTTCATTGTTGGCAAAATATATGAAAATTAATTATCCTTGTAATACTTCTCTATTAGTAGCTTTAATATTTAATAAATATGTTACTCTAAAAGAAAAGTAACCCTAGTATTTTCCATGTTTTCCTGAGAGATTTTGTCCTGGAAATCATTCTAAATTGTATGGTTCATTTAAAGTGTATTTTCATTGATGCAGTAGTTATATATAGAATTTTATACATTTTCATAAAATTTATGTTGAACATTTTTAAATATACCCAAAATATTTTATTTTATTTTACAAATAGCATTAATTTAGAAAATTATTTTTAAATTGAACCAGTTGGACACCATATATGAAACACATCTTATGCCCTGTGTCCAATGCACACTAAAATGAAAATAACAAAAATAACATAATTATGAAAGAGAATCAGTGTATTTAGAGTAGGAAAATAGACAACAGTAAACAACCAAGAAAGATTCATCAAATTACAAAAACAAAATAGTAATGAAGAGTGAGGAAAAAGGGGGCCTAGAAAAGATTGGTATAACATATATGTCTAAAGATTTGCTTTGAAATAAGAAAAATGAACTGTGTCCCTACATTCTACCTAAGGGTCCCTGTTTAGATCTAGGGAGTCTAAGTGTGAACCAGATAGAAACCAAAGGTTGGTATAGCTGTAGCGCCCACATCCTGCAGGTTGCAGTTTCCAATAAAGAAAACACTTAATTATTCTCAAAAATAAGCTGAGTACAAGAAGCCACATTCAGTGGGTGGCAGGCAAATGATAACATAGGAGGACGAAAAGGAAACTGGCAATGCTGAGTCCCTGGATGGTCTCGGGGTTTTTCTCCATCATATTTGTGAAGATCAACAACTGGATCTACCTCCAGACAAGGATGACGTGTAAAGATCTCTGGATTTTACCATCTTCATGGGCAATTCTTTGCAAATATCCACCAGAAAGAATTAAAAAAAATCATCAGTGCAAGGCAAAGCGTCATGAAATATCAAAACACCAGGTCTAACAGAAGGAGAAACTCTTCAGGGAGATCCCTGATTCACACTGAGACAGAACCATAATTCTCAAGAGAAGCTTGTGGTGTCTTAAACATTGATCAAATGCAGGAGTAGACATACCATAAATCTTATACCCTACTTTTGCTTTCTTCATGAAATGCTGGGGGGTATTTTCCATCCTCTTGCCTAAAGCAACATCGCAGGAAGTGATGGACTTAAGAAATCTACACATCCCATGAGAGATAGTGAGTTTCAAATTGGGATGTGGGAACCAGATTTAGAAAGCCCCCAATTCTGTATTTACCCTATGAATGTTACAGGCATGAACAGCAAATGAGGGACAAAAGAGTAACTGAGCTTTTTATTCCTGGAGTAGAAGCATCACATTAAGAATTATAAATAATGCTAACTCACAAAGGATAAATTACAAGCTAAAAAGACAGGACATGCATCAGTCACAAAGTATATCAATAATGAAAACTACTCTAATTTTTGTAATACAGAATATATATGTAAATACAATTATTCTAACAGTAAATACTGGTTTAACTAAGTATTATAACTCAAGATCAATAGTAGGTAAATGACAGGTTCATGTGTGTATAGTTGTTTGTATGTGTACTTATGTGTGTAAGTATATATTTCATTATCTATTTATAGTTATACATTTATATACAGGATGTAGTTATAACTTATATTTCCATTTCTGATAACAAAACTCAATAGATATTGTATATTTTTGAGTTATTAGGAGCAATTATTTAAAATATGAGTATATTTCACAAGTAGTTGTTGGTGTTGAACCTGACCACTATTAGATAATAGAAACATAGCTGGATTACCATTTAAAATTGCACACATATTTAATAATTATTTATGATGTCTTTTATTAATCATAATAATATCTGGTTAGTTGTACTGTTTTTGGTTGAAATGTTTAATTAGTTTACATATCATTTGATAGTATGGCTGTAAATAATTAGCACATGATAATGAATCATAGAATCCATTCCTTATGAGAGATAAAAATTTGTATAATAAAAATTAAGTTTATCTAAGTTTATTCCTGAGCAAGAAATGTACATTTATAATTCTGCATAGACACATTCTCCATGTCCTGTGTAGTATTACGTTATTGTGACAAGCACCACTTTTTCCTAAATCCATGTAAAAATGCCTGTTGTGGTGGTGTATACATGTAATCTTGGCACTAGAGTGATGGAGACTGTGGAACTGAGGGACCCTGGTACCCTGTGAGGAGACAAAGAGAATGACTCCTGAAGAACATTATCTGACATTTTCATCCCGCCTCCACATGCAATGTGTTCCTGCACACACGCATCTGCGTACTTGTCCACATACACACATGTGAACATGCTTGTACATACTTTTACATACAAAATAGCAGCTATCTAGTATGAGAGTGGTGGGAATTCATATCTTAACATTCTATATATCTAAATGTACTCACCAGGGTTCTTTCAACATTTAAACTCTTAATGCTGAACACCTTGGCTGTGCACTGTGTGGCCCTGACTTATTGTGACAAATGTGAAATTTTTCTCCTATTCCATCATTTCTCATTGTTTATAACCAGCTAAAGTCCAGGAAGAGATTTACCACGTAGTTGGCAGAGACCGAAGCCCCTGCATGCAGGACAGGAGACACATGCCCTACACAAATGCCACGATTCATGAGGTCCAGAGGTTCATTGATATTGTCCCTAACAGCATACCCCACGCAGTGACCTGTGATGTTAAATTCAGGAACTATCTCATCCCCAAGGTAAGTGTGTGTTTCTTCTTTGCTGCACCCAACCCCACCCCCAAACCCCAAAACCCCACACCCTGTGAGATATGATTTGTCATTCTTATTGTTGAGGTCTGTGAATAATATAACAACACTTAATTTAGATCCTTAACAGTAAATGGTAAATAAAATGAATAGTGAGACAGGAATGACCTATGTCCCAGATTCCCTTGCTGTGATCACAATCATGCTTGAGGCAAGTACTGCAGATGCTTACAACTCATAATCCCATATCTCTTGGTTGGTGGCTCATGATGTGACTGCTCACTTTGGATCTTGAGAACTAGAATAGTATTCCTTCCCTTGCTGGAACTGCCAGGCACAAAATAATCTTGACTTTATGGTTGACTCTACTCTCTTAGAAATCTGGTGAAAAATTTCTTTACCAGATGGGACCTCTAATTTCAGTACAGATAAGGGACTAAGCTAAGCGTCAGTAATCTTTGCACTTGGCTTGGTAGACAAATACTTCAGAGGTTCTAATTCATGAAGATTTTGCCACCACTTCTGAACTCTGCCTTGTTGTAAGAAGCAGCCACGGGCAATGTGTATACAAATGAGGACTGCCATTTTCAAAATTATTGAGACTGGCATTTTATTTTCAAATACTCTCAAATGCCCTCCCTGCTCTGACCCTAATTCATGGCAGGCCAGAGAGTTGGCCCTGGGGTCACCTGAATGAGAGAGCTAGCGCTACATCACACTAGCTGCAGCACACAGGAAAATAAGCCCTGCAACACACCTGGACAGTACACTGAGGCTGAACCTGTTATCAGGGCACATGTGAGCCAGCCCTGAGGTCAAGAGAAAAGGAGAGCTGACTCCACCATCATATTGTCCCTGCAACTTGCCTGGGCAAAACAGTAGAACTGGCCCAGGTGATTTGGGTGTGAAGTTCCCAAATCTGAGGGGCTGAGAGTAAACCTGGCCCTGCTCCTTGCTGTAGGCAGCACTGGGTGAACTAGCCTAGGCAGTGCTGGAGAGCTTGTCAAGCTGAGGTAACAATAATGAGGGAAAGATGGTGAGCTGACCAACCCAGCTACCACCAGGCTCAGAACCAGGGATATGAGTTGGCCCACCCCAACATCCATCAAACCTATGAACTGTTGGAACATGTAAAGGGGACGAACGTACAGATTCAAAATACCAGAATCTCCATGACAGAGGACAAAAACAAGATATCCAAGAGTAACCCCAATGTATAATCAGTGGTGTAGCAGAAACCAGAGTTCTCAGACCAGACCAGGGACTCATGGCAATGAACACTTGCAGATAAGATGAATAAAGTGGGCTAAAGAGCAAAATGTGTGACTCATTGGGCTACACTAAAGCTTCCACAACAAGATTCTTCTTTTGTTTTGTTTTTTATTTTAAATTTTGTTTTGATTTGGGGGGAGGTTGAAAGGGCAGAGGACAGATGTGAGGGGACAGAGTAAAAAGGTGGATCAGATAGCATGATATGAAATTCACAAAAATCAATAAAAATTAAAAAGAGAAATTTGGGGATGATTTGGGGGTCAGTATGTGTAGTAATTGAAGAAATCATGGAAGCAGCAGCACAAACTATTTACACACATGCCCAGAACCAATTTTATTTAGCTGTTACAGGTAGAACATGACCATCGTGACATACTTAATATCTCTCCTCCTCCCTGGCCCATTTAATCAGTACCCCTCATGATGCAATAGTCTCACTTTTGCTTTTGTTGTGTGTGTGTGCATGTGAGTGTATGTGTGTATGTTATATACATAGATTCTATATATGAGAGTAGACCCCCTTTACATGGCATGTAATATCTACATCTATTGTGAATCGAATGTAAATGAGAGAAAATCATCATATTAGACTCTTTAGACCTTGTTTGTATGCTTTCATGAGTCATTTCCAGTTTCACTGACATACAATACTGCACTTTATTTGCAATCTTTGTTCATATGACCTGTGAAAACCATGTGAGGAACTAGAGCAACAGGTTGTGAGACATGCATGTCCAAACCTGAAGGAAAAGGAGAACAGACTAAGAAGCATTAGCACCAAATTGAAGTACTAACTTCAAATATCTTTAAAGATGTGTTAGCTACATCACTGTGAATGGGTCTCAGGCTCCTCCCTGATCCTTGCATGCTGTGTGTTGAAATGTTCCTGCTCTTCTTTTTCACTTAACCCTGTCTATGGATTGGAAGGTGAAGTAGGCTATTTCCCTGATTTATGTAGGTTCATGATTTTCTTGTACCTTTCTCTCTGTTTGTTGTTTGTAGGGAACAACGGTGATAGCATCACTGTCATCAGTATTGCATGACAGCAAGGAATTTCCTAACCCAGAGATGTTTGACCCTGGTCATTTCCTAGATGGGAATGGAAACTTTAAGAAAAGTGACTACTTCATGCCTTTCTCAGCAGGTAATAGAAATTCATTTCCATGGCTCCAGTGATATGAAAATTTGTGTGAACTTACACAGTGACTCATATGGGTATAATTTTTGAATTATCAGGATCATAACTTCTTTGATGGTAAGACGGCTATGTTAAGATCAAATTTTGAACTCTGAGGTGAATGGTTATATGGAGATATCCCACTTACAGCATATTGTCTAGTTATGGGTCTCTGTTTTTTCTCTCTGATGATAGAGGAAGCTTTTCTGATGATTGCTGAATAATGCACTGATCTATGAGCATAGTAGAATATCATCAGGAGTCATTTTATCACTACTTTTTTATTTTTAAAGACCAATAGTATTTGGTTTTACCATAGGTCTCTGGGCTATCTTGTTCCTGGTTCTTGGTCACCCAAATAGTGTCAGATACAGGTTCCATCTTGTGGCATGGATCGTAAGTCAAATCAGATATTGGTTAGTTACTCCCATAAGATTTATGTCACCATTGCCCTAGCGTATTTTTCAGGAGGACAGCATTGTAGCTCAAAAGTTATGTGGTTAAGTTGGTGTATACATTTCTTCCTTACTAGCCTGTAGAATATATTCTTCTACCAAAGACAATAGAACAGAGAGATGAAGGTTACATATAGGTATCAACTTGTCTGTGTTCAATGAGCTGTGTGGGTATTATCTTCATCAGTGGGGTCTTGCTGTTAGTTTGTGTAGCGCAACCATTGCCTTGGCAACAGCCTGGGTTGTTTAGAAATTTTCATCAGACTCATTTGACCAACAACTCAATTGAATTAGTAAGTTTCCACTGACTAGATTTCTTTATTATCCCTCAAATGCTCCTCAATTCTAGCAATCCTTGAATCCCATCTAATCCTTCTTTTTGAGTCCGCCTGTTTCCAGTGCACCCTAAAAATCTAATTTTTCCCTCGTAGGAAGATCAATGTGTACCCCACTAGTATTTTTCTCTGTACTTAATCTCTCTAGGTGTATGGATTGTATCTTTACTTAATGAATGATATATACTTAGAGCCTATAGAGTCCTTATTTATCTTCCTGGGTCTGGGTTATCACACTCAGAATTATTTTTTCTAGTTCCATCCATTTGTTTGAAAATTTCTTGATGTCATTTTGTTATTAATATCTGAGCAATACTCCACTGTATAAATGTAGCACATTTTCCAGGCTGGAGAGATGGCTCAGCCTTTAAAGGCTAGACTCACAACCAAAAATATAAATGCAGCACATTTTCCTTATAAGTTCTCTTGTCAAGGGATATTTAGGGGTTTTTTTTCATTTTTGGCTATTGTCAGTAGAGCAGCAATGAACATACTTGAATAAGTATCTTTGTGGTGAGGTGTAGGGCCTTTTGGGTATATGCTCAGGAGTGGTGCCTTAGGATTACTAATGCTGTGACTAAACATCATATCCAAAAGGAAGTTGCGGATAAAAGGGGGTTTGGAGGCTTATATTTCTGCATTATAGGCCATGGAGAGGTATTATTTACTCCTCTATTTCTGCATTATAGGCCATGGAGAGGTTTACTCCTCTATATTGTTCAGCTTATACTTCCGCATTATAGGCCATGGAGGGGTATTATTTACTCCTCTACGTTGCTCAGCTTATATTTCTGCATTATAGGCCATGGAGAGGTATTATTTACTCCTCTACCTTGCTCAGCCTGCTTTAGTGCAGAAGCCAGGGCCTCCACCTCATAGGTAACACGAACCAAACTGGTCTGGGCCCTCTGCTATCGACTACTAATTAAGAATGTCCCACAGGCTTGCCTGTAGCCAGATCTTATGGAAGCATTTTCTTAATCAAGATTCCCTCTTCTCATATGATTTTAGCATATGTCAAGTTGACATAAAACTATTCAGCACAAGTGGTATATATAGCTGGATCTTGAAGGAGATCAACTCTTGTCTTTCTGAGGACCTGCCACACTGGTTTCCATAGTGTTTAGTTGGCTTTTTTTTTTCTCTTACTCTTAGGGGATCTGTCACCTAGCTGGAAAATAATCACAAAGAAACTTAATCTTACTTATAAATGCCTGGCCTTAGCTTGCCTTGTTTCTATACAGTTTTTCCTAATTTAAATTATCCCATTTCTCTTTAATTACATTTTGCCTCTGGGATTCTTACCTTGCTTTATTCTGTGTAGCTTTCTTTCCCTCCTACGCTGTGTCTGGATGTGTGGTTGGCCCTTGGTGCCTTCCTCTCCTCCTTTCTCACTCCTCCCTCTTGCTTCTTCTTCTCCACCCTTGATTTCTCCTACTTAACCTCTCTGCATGCCAGCCCTGAATACCCCTTCTCAAGCCTAGCTATTGGCTGTTCAGTTCTGTATTAAATCAATCAGGTGTTTTAGACAGGCAAAGTAACACAGCTTCACGGAGTTAAACAAATGCAACATAAAAGAATGCAACACATCTTTGCATCATTAAATAAATATTCCATAGCATAAATGAATGTAACACATCTTCAACTAATATTCCACATTTCCCCTTTTCTCTAAAAAAATTAAAGGTTTTCATTTTAACATAGTAAAACTATATACAATAAAAACAGTTATTGTGTAAGAATTATATTTACAATATCCAGTCCATTTGTATTTAGCAAATTATGAGAAAATACTCCATTATCTTATCCTACTGAATCCAAAGTTTCATATCTAATTTACTATCTATAATAAGTAAGAAAAACTATAACACTAACTATTTAGTCTTTAAGTCCACCAAAGACCCCAGAAAGATATAATTTCACCTTAACAAGATAGACATCTGGCTGCCTGGGTAGTCACCCAATATTCCTCTGCATTTTTGGAGGCTCCATATTCAGACTACATGCCTATAATACCTGCCAGACTCTTCGGTGAAGGAGGAATTTTGAAGGACTGTCCTGCCTTATCTTGGCAAAATTTGGCAATTGTTTTCCTGTATTTACTGCATGCCTAGTTTGTACAGCACACTGTCATCAGTCAAGGCAGAAGCAGTTTCTTGACCACATGACTAACCTTGACATGCTGAAAGCAAATTCCATATGGAGTTTCTTTGGTTTTCATCATTCTTTTATGAAGTAAATCCATGCTGCCAGGAGCATATATGTCTTATTGTCATGAAAAACCTTAGGTTATTAAATGTCTTAAATGCCTAATTCTGTATACCTTGAGGAGTTTGAAAAATCACCTATTTGTATCAAATAGACCTGTTTTACATTGAAAGCATACCTAATATGACTACAAGTTTGATTATTATAGATTAACTACTAACCTCAATCATTAATTATACACTGCATTTTTAAATGAGCTGCATGAGCACAATACCCCAATCAAAAGTATGCCATATATGTATATGGCATAATAAAAATTTTTACATTTGTATCAAGATACCAAAATCCATGCCAAAGCAAAATATCTGAGATTAATAGTTGTCTATGTATCCCATATTCCTATATTCCCCTAAATGACAACAAATATTCATAACCCACCAAATAACAAAAAACAATCCACAACCCAACTCTTGGAAGTGTGGGTGTCATTTTTCTCTGGACTGCTTCCTGTTGTCTATGTGAGAAGGCATCTTTACTGGTTCCCAAGAAAACTGAGATAATGGGCAAATCCTGAGAAAACGAGCTGTAACCTTTGTTGATATATAACACCTCTCAAGATTCAGGAGTGTTTCCCTGATCAAACCTGACCCATATTAATGCTGAAGGAATCAACAGCCTATCATTTACCATGGAAACAAAAACAAAACCTCTGCTCCAAAGCAGTGAACTTTTTGAGTTCCATTTTAAAATTAAGGCATTCTTACAACATACTGTCTGATTTATTTTTTTCAGTCTGGTTCCCAATTCCATGTCTGTCAGCAAGTGTTGTTTGTTTATCAACAATCAAAAAATTCTAGGAAGTCTTTAAATTCATTTTTCCCTTATACAGGGATGATTCAGTTAAGAATTGTTCAATTTCCTTGAGTTTGTGAGCTTTCTACAATTAGTGTTATTGTTGAATTCCAACTTTAACCCATGGTGATCCAATAAGATACCAGGAGTTATTCCAAACTTTTTTTGTATCTGTTGAGGTTTGCTTTTTTACTGAGTATGTGATCAATTTTAGAGAAGGTTCCATGTGGTGCTGAGACAGTATATTCTTTTGTATTTGGGTAGAATGTTCTATATATGTTTGTTAAGCACATTTGAGACATAACATCTGTTAGTTCCTTTATTTCTCTGTTAAGTTTCTGTCTGAAAGTCCTGTCCAGTGATGAGAGTGGGGTCTTGAAGTCTCCCACTCTTAGTGTGTGGAGTTTGATGTGTGATTTAAGCTTTAGTAATGATTCTTTTATAAATTTTAATGTCCTTCTATTTGGGGCATAGATGTCCAGAATTGATATTTCATCTTGATGGATTTTTCCTGTGATGAATATGAAATTACTTTCTTCATCTTTAGCTTGAAGTCTTTTTGTTAGATATTAGGATAGCTACACCAGCTTGTTTCTTCAGTTCATGTCTGTTTTTGAAGTTGAGGTGTTTCTTGTATGCAGCAGAAGAGAAGGATGGGTCCTTTTTCATATCGATTCTCTTAATTTGTGTCTTTTTATAGTTGAAGTGAGACAATTGATATTAAGAAATATTAATGACCAATGATTGTTAATTCCTGTGGTGGTATTATGTGTGTGTTTCCCTTCTCTGTGTTTTGCTGGTGTGGGATAATCTATTACCTATAATTTTATGATTGTAACTAACTTCCTTGGGTTGGAGGTTTTCTTCTACTACTTTCTGTAGCACTGGATTTGTGGATAGATATTGTTTAAATATGGTTTTGTCATGGAATATCTTGCTTTCTCTGTCTATAATGATTGAAAAGTTTTCTGGATGTAGTAGTCTGGGCTGGTATCTGTGGTCTCTTACTGTCTGTAGAACATCTATCTAGGACCTTTTCACTTTTGGAGCTTCCATTGAGAAGTCAGATGTAATTCTGATAGGTCTGCCTTTATATGTTATGTAGCCTTTTTCCTTT